TCCGAGGATAGCTGTTCGTTACGCTGATCACTTGTGTAAATGTAATAGACATCGTTTTTCCACCGCCAATAAACGAAACGCTCTTTTTGTATTTGTGACGTGGCTTGTAAGTCACATGCACACCCGGATCAACACCCAAATCACAGAATAATTCCTCTTGAACTGCGGTGGCAGAAATTGTAGTCTGAGGGAGCAAATGAAAGATAACAAGCCCGCTTCTTTGAAACTGGGGTGGCCTATCCAGTATTTATAAAAAGAAAACAAAGGAACTTAAATGGAACATAAAAAGGCATAATCAAAAGCGTAACGACGCTCCCTTCGGTGAAACCCACAGACCAAACAATAGTGCACAGCTGATGAGCTTTTGAACTGCGATCGATGGCTAACACACGTGAATTGGTCGGTGGGATAGAACAGAATGACAAACTTCTCCCTTCTAATCAGCTTCGGTTACGTAAATGCATTCATTGGCAGTATGATAGTGTCGTCAACAGGGTTGACTTAGCTCAGCTGACTGAAACGTCTACGTACACCAAAACCTACAATATTGGCAACTAGGAGTTCCTGAAACCACAGCGGTTAACAAACCCTCACAGTACACATCATATCAGTTGGCGCACGGGCAGTGGAAATTTCTAACAGGGTAAGTCACTGGTCAACACCGGTAACCATCTGAAAAATTCGTCCTCCTCTCCTGAAGAATACAATTAAAGCTAAATATTGCCTTGTCAGGTTACTGAAATTGGCACTGTAACAGAGACATGCGTGTGAGGTGGGCAAAATTTTGGGGTATGCGAACTGACATCTCTGTCATGATTGAAACTATGGACAGCCAAGTGAGGAGCGCATTCCTATCCTCGAAAGAAATGTCAGATGGTAAATGGCTTCTTCTGGGCGGAATATTTTCTAATCCTTGGATCCGCAATGTCACCACCAAGCCTGGAAATCATATTTACCATTGATAGTGGTTTTTCAATATTAATCTTTAGCCTGCTGTGACATTGGTACATAGCACCAGCTGGTTCTTCCTGACCTGGATTGGCTGGGTATAACCTATGTTTCTTGAAAACAACCACATCTCGAGGTGGATATCTTGGGACTAGAAGACAGTGAGAAGCAATGCAGTGACAAATCAGTATTCATAGTTATTCCGACCGTTACGACCGTATCATGTTGCGATCGGCTTTCTTCTAATCTCACAGTGACCCCGCATAATGGATCCATTGTCCCGATTTTTTAGTTGCTAATTCGCAAGGTGACTGAAATATGCAGCACTTTCCGGCTCAGCATACGGCGAAGGCGCCTGCAAAAACCTGAATTTTCGTTAGCAAGGGGCAGACTGTGTGGGATAGAATGATGGTTTGTAGCAAAACCAGGGGAAAAATCCAGTTGAGCAGCCAATTTTGGTATCCGCTAAAGTGTTTCTTCGAAGATACTGTCCCCAAAAGTTGATTCAATGCAAATTGTCATTAACCTTGTGCTGTTTCTAGTAAGCACTGATCATTAACAAGCACCAGCAAGATGGAGAACGAGTTGGTGAGTAGGATCACAGTAGATGCTCCACGGTAACTTACCTGAGTATGACTATGCCCAGAGAGGTGTGTGACTAAATGCTATCAACATACAACATAGTTCACAGATTCACCACGCTCCTTACTAGATGTGCACAGTCTATAGTCTATTCTGAGTACCGATACAGAAAAAATAACTTCTACGGCTAATATGGTTATTCACAGGCAACTAAGAACTTCATAACGTGACACTTACTACACTGCATCCACAAATATTGCTCTGTCAATATTTTTGTGTATCAGAGTTATGAAAAACAAACGTGGTCACTACCAGCCGTTTCGCATCAGGAGGACCGCATCATTGATCAATACTCACTTTTCCGTTGAAACTGTTGTCGAGGTAAACACTGGCTGGACCTTCAAGTAACGCGAATTCCGATGTATTATGCATACGAACTCTTAAAAACGCTTTTGGAAGCAGCTTTGGTATAGTGACATATTCCAGCGAGGGGCGAAACTCCAGAGTGCCCAGAGTGACTCGTTGTGGCTCTCCGTTTCCTCTGATGGACAGCGGTTTGTTGTTTACTTCGTAAGTGAGTGAGGGAAAATGAATCCCTGGAGGGAGGCTGGAGCACGTCATTGCATTCGGAACGCAGTCGTTCTCGTAGCCCATCATAAAGTTATACCGAGACAAAGTGAGATTTTCGGGAGTCTGGGTGGAATCGGCGGTTTGGTGCTCCTCCTTCGCTGTCGTAGTACAGCGTGGATCAGAACGGTGAAGGTCCATTAGCGTTTGATTGCGGCTTTTTTCAAGTTCGTATATAATATCCGTCTCAGCACTGGTGCCCAGCCACTTTCTCTGTGTTAGATAAACCAGAACAAAATTCAGCACGTTAATGAACCGGGCCTGTTGAACTCAATGTATGACAAACTTTAGTCTATCAGCTATCATTCTTGAGCACAAAGACCAGCGTACGTTTTTAAAAGATCCTTTGAACTGGAAGTGGGATATTGAAGAGAGTGGGAAAAGTCTGGGTGCTGTCAAAGTCCACTGATCCTCACCGTACCTGGTTAAAAAGCTACAGGATATGGCTGCATATTTATGTCAAGGGCGCCGTTGTTGTCAGTTCTTATCCAGATTGCCTGAATGGGTGTCCGGAGGTTTATACACCTTGGAACGGTTGTGAAGGGCTAGCACCAAGTCCCCTCCCCGTTCACTGTTCCTCCTTTCCTAACAATAGTGTTTGAACACTGATATCATCCTAGTGATGATAATGAAATCACAGTTGGAAAGGCATATAATCCACCTCAGAAGAGTCCGGTGTCTTATTCAAACTGATGATTTTGAGGTGGACGAGATCGAACAAATATTCCACCACCTAAGAGCAAAAAAATTGTGACATTCTCAGGAACCCACCCTTTACAAGGAGTAACCTGTGTCGTTTTATGGTCAGAGGACGATATTGATACGTAGTTCGAAACTGATTTGCTGAACTTCTGCTGGGCATGAACCAGGCTGGTGTGGAGTCTCTGTTTCATTGAACCATGACCGATACTCTGTAGAAGAATGTGTTATTATCGAGCTCAATAATAACGCAGTATATGTGCATTTAGGTCAACAGACCAACATGGCATCCGTCGCTCACCATTCTCCTCTGGTCCATTTCCAAAGGCTCTCTGCAAAACATGATTGGGACAGTCTGTCTTGACTACTGTCCAGACTCGTGTCCCACTGACATCCCTATTTCTACAAGTTCATATGTTGCCTCTGATTTGGGGCTTCATG